ATCTATGAGTTTGCTGTTTGTTTCTGTTTCTCTTCGTCCCTAAAAAAGAAAAAAAAGGAGCATGGAAGGTGCAAGGAGTAAAAAAAAAAAAAAAAAAAAGAAAAAAAATCCTAGGAGAACAAGATTTTTTGGTTCCTTTCCCTTGACTCTCTCCCCCTCTTTTAGTGTTTCCTCTCCCTTCCTTGTCTCCCATCTCCTTTCCTCCCCGTGTCCTTCCTCCCACCTTCCATCTTTTCCCTTCCCTCTTCCGTTTCTTCTAACACCTTCCATCCCCTAATACTTCGGTTCCTTCTCTTCCCCTCCTCTCCCTTCCCCTCCGTTTCCTTCGGCTCCTTCTCTTCCCTTCCTCTCCTTTCTCCCTCTTCACGCCCATTACTATTACCTCGTCCCCTTTCTCCTGCATCCTCTCTCTCTCCCTTCCTTCCGACCTTCCCCCTCCTTCCATCCTTCTACCACTCCCTCCCTTCCTTTTTACCTTTCCCTTATCCTTTGCCTCTTTACCTGTCTCTCTCAGTCTTCCCTTCCTTTCCTTGTTATCTCCCTTCTCGCTCTCCTTCTTTTTACCCTTGCCTTCCATCTAGCCCCCTCTCCCTCCCCGTCTTCCCTCCCTTTCCTTTTTAATCTCCCCTCTCCTTCCCCTTCATTTTACTCCTTCCTTCCTTCTATCCTCCTTTCCGTCCCCACCTTCCCTCCCTTTCTCTCTTCTTCCAACTCCTCTCCCCTATCCCCCTCTTCCAATTCCTCTCCCTTTCCCCCCTCTTCCAATTCCTCTCCCCCGCCCCCACTTCTCCCTTCCGACAATGTAACATGTAAAATATTTACGAATGTTATTTACTTATTCTCTTATTTATCTCTGTTAATAATTTATTCACCAATTCGTTCATTTAGGTATTTTCTACTTATTAATTTACCCATTCATTCATCAGCCATATATCCTACGCAGTGATATAGACCCTTCAGTCAACAGACGAAACTTTGAACATATTTTTGTTGTGAAAAACAGAGAACAAAAAACGGGTGATGATGTAACACTCCTTTCTAAAAACCTGGAACCTTGGAGAAATTAATTTATNAACAATGATAAAAACAATGATAAATGATGATAATGACCAAACAATAACAATAAAGAAGATAATAACGATACTACTAAAATACAGATAGCGATAATGTAAATGTTGATAATGATAATTCGCATAAAATAACGATAACCACAACAGTAATGATATAAACAATAATAATGATTATAATAATAATAACAAAATATCCATAACGAAGATAACAATGATACTACCAAAAATAATACAGACAGTGATAATGATAATGTTGATATGATAATCAAATCAACGAAAATAACCACAACAGAAATGATATTAAAATGACAGTACTAGAGAAATAATAACAATACACCAGCAGCATTACCACTCCCTAATGAGAAGGTACATCACCAATGCACAGGAACTGAATAAGAAAGGTTCGTGGATAGGCGAGGGGAGATAAAGGAGGAAGAGGAAGGAAGAGGAATAAGGGAAGAGAGAGAGTGAGATAGGAAAATAGGAGAGAGGGATAGGAGAGATAAGGATGGACTCAGGCAGGGGAAGGGAGGATAGGTGGGGGGGGGGCAGGGGAGCAGAAGGGATATGAAGCGAGGAGGGAGGAGGAAAATGAGAGAAGGGGTAAGAGGAGTAAGGGAGAGAGAGAGAGAGAGAGAGAAACTTTGATTACGGTATGATATTTTCTTGAAGAAAAAGAGAGAGAGGGGGGAGGGAAGAGAGAAAGAGAGAGAGAGAGAGAGAAATTTGATTACGGTATGATATTTTCTTGAAGAAAAAAGAAGAGAGAGAGAGAGAGAGAGAGAGAGAGAGGAGAGAGAGAGAGAGAAAGAGAGAGAGAGAAGAGAGAGAGAGAGAGAGAAAGAGGAGAGAGAGAGAGAGAGAGGAGAGAGAGAGAGAGAGAGAGAGAGAGAGAGAGAGAGAGAATGCCACCAGATCCGGTTTATCTTCGTCGTAATAAAGCTGTTTAATTACTTGATTTGTCTAAATGCCGTCTCGTAGAATTTTTTCTTTCTTTTTTTTATCTACGCAATTAATACTTTTATTTCTGACACATTTTTTTCTAATTATCAAAAAAACATACACTCATACTTCACCAACACACGCAATTATCAGTAAAACACATACACAAACACACACACAACACTCACACAACACACACACACACACACATCAATATCAATAAAACACACACACACACACTGAGAGAGAGAGAGAGAGAGAGAGAGAGAGAGAGAGAGAGAGAGAGAGAGAGAGAGAGAGAGAGAGAGAGAGAGAGAGAGGAGAGAGAGAGCGGGAGAGAGGGCGATAGAGAGAGAAAGAGAGGGAGCGAGCGAGCGAGAGAGAGAGAGAGAGAGAGGAGAGAGAGAGAAGAAGAGAGAGAGAGAGAGAGAGAGAGAGAGAGAGAGACAGACAGACAGAGAAAGAGAGAGAGAGAAAGAGAGACAGAA